ACAATATTTTCAGATTTTATATTTTTTAAGATGTCACAAGGGGAAATGTTTTTATTATTCGCTTTCTAAATTGTTATTTTTCTCCTCCCATGTTGCATTTTGTGTACCGGTAATTATTTTTTAGCACTAATTATTCTTTGTGTGTGCGTGTGCGACTATCTGATTTTACCGTCTCAAACCTCTTGAAAGGAAAGAGTATAATTGTCGCGGCGGCGTCTCGCCGCCCATTCGCCGCGCTCGGCGGTTAAACAAAGCGACAAACAAACAAAACGTGGCCCCCTCACATTAACTTGTTCCTGGCGGTAATGTTTTGTTGTTGGCTTTGTGAGCCATGCGTGCTGCACGTCCGCCCGCGTTCGTGTGGAGACTCACGGCTGCCACTTGAGCGACCGTCGGGACGGCTTTGGGGAGACTGGATTTGCCGTCGCGGAGTGGGCTGGCGAGCGCAGTGCTAATGTGTTGTGTATAATTTCATTGATTTCACGGGGGCCTTGCCCGCCTTAGGCATGGAAATGTTGTCGGTGTTTGATATCACAAGCGCACTGCCGGCTCTTTGTTTTGGGGGCAATTTGGCTGGCGTATTTTTTCAAAAACAAACATGTTTTTAAGAAAGCCGACGCTTATTTACCAATGTTGGAATGTTTATGACTTTACTAGCACTTCGCTTGCACAGTTTCAGATCCGTTTTTTTTATCTGCTGCCAAAATTGCTTCATTTTGCTATTAATGTTTTTTTTTACTTCTTGGATTCTAATCATTTCCTTGAACTATAATATCGCGTTTTGGCAGCTTATTTTTCTTAACTAGAAAATCACATGTGGCCATTAACCATATAAATGAATAAATATATATATATTTTAAAACTGAATAAACAGGAAGAAAAATACAAAAGTAGCCAATGTTCATTAGGGATAATTAACATTTGAATATGAATAAAGCAAGTCTTTCACTTAAGGTTATGCTGCAATTACGTGTACTCTGGTGTAATTGCGATCATTGTTAGTTTATGTTTGTTTCGCTCAGTCGAATTTACCAACACATCCGAAACATTGACTCGCACTGCGTCGCCTGCTATCCTGCTTTTTAAATCCTTTATATTACGTACGCTTGCTTGCTTGCTTGCGTGCTTGCTTGCTTGCTTATGACCGTGCAAATCTTTCGGTCGTTTTTTAACCCACTTCCCGTGATCCAATCGAGCTGACATTTTGCACACAGACTCGTTGTGCGAGACAATTAATGTTCGTGAAAAAAAAATATCCAAAATTTTACACTGTTTAGGGAAAACAAATTAAATATTTAATTACCAATTGCTTAATACTGGCAGACAATCATCTGACTCATATGTGGCAGCCATCTCAAGCCAGAAGACGAGAGAACTCTAGCCGCCACGCATATAAAGGATTTATAGTAAAAAACTTTGTTTTTACGGGTTATACTTGTTACTCCATGCGCCAATGCACCTCCCTTGTTGGTCTCCACAGCAGTGGTTGTAGGTTCATAGATGCTCACTCGCAGCACTTGCCCCGAAAAGTCTGCAAAAGGCTATGTGGGAGTCTTTGTTGTAGATTCTCAAAGTGTTGATTACCCCCTTGCGTGTCAACGCGAGGTTAAGGTGCAGCCCTGCAATTGCTCACTCAACGCTACTGCTCCCGTTAGCACGGTTGGCTACGTACGGCGCAAAAGAAGTTCAAAATACGTACATACTGTTGGCAGAAGGGCCTCCACTTACATGGGCCCCCTTTGGAGAATATTTGGCCTTCTCTGGCAGGCTGGCCAGTTGTCTTTGAAGAGGCTTAAAGCAAACGATTCGATTGATTTTGGCGATTCGAGGGCTGTTTTGTAACGTTATTTCTTGTCATGTTCGTATTGTTTCTCATTCTTTCATGCTTGTCTCGTTTTGTTCGCTCTATTGGCGCAAATGTAACATTAACATATTGCTTGTGTAAAATTGCGTGCAATTTGTAAATCACAAGATTATTGCGTGTGGGATTGGAGTCATGTATTGCGAGCGTAAGAATAGATTTACATCTGCACCAGTGCATCTTCACATATTCATGCTATATATGTGGTGTACAGGTATAATGGCCCTTTTGTCAGTCCACCACTGTGTCGGTCTTGGGGCTTATTTGACCCTACTTCACCATGCTGGTAAGTACAGGTTGGTGACGGCGGTGAGCATGGCCATGGGAACGTAGTACAATACAACAATGGATTCATGCTGCTCTCAACGGCGGCTTATATCACTCATATTTTATGCACGGTGGTCACCCATCCAAACACTTTCCTTGTTCATTCGGAGGGGATTTGGCAATTGGCCTACGCACCGTTACACCCTTTATGCAGGGCGCTTCAAAAAAATGTTAACATATGGGACTTGTTTTTAATGGAAATAGAACGGATAATGCAGAGTAACATGATACCAAACGTATGTTAATCGCCACCGTTGTCAACGCATGTCTGGAATCTTCTCCAGGTGGTCTCCAGAGCCCGGAGGCACATCTCTTGTGGTATTATTACAAATTCTCAGAAGTGTTAACATTTTTTGAAGCACCCTGTATTTATACCTAAAATAAATCCACTTCACCCTTTGTCGTGCGTATACAGGGTGGGCGGCGGGGGGGGATCTTTTTCCATGACTCCTCATTCCGACGCCTTGGGTCTAACTCAATGAAGCCGCATCAGACGGGACGCTTGCTTCTTGATACCAGCTCCCGCGCGTCGTAAGGCTTCACGGTGCGGGTTCACAGCTCAAGGTGGCGGGGAGCGTGCTCTGTTTGTCCAGCTGATTCGTGGCCCACTCGCCCACCTGCTTGTCCGCTCGACCACCCGCTAGGCCGCTCGCCGACCCGCTCGCTCGTCCGCTCGCTCACCCGCTAAGCCGCTCGCCGACCCGCTCGTCCACTCGCTCACCCACCCGCTCGCCCCGCTCGCTCGGCCGCCTGCCTCCATCCGCCCTCCATTCCTTCACCAGCCACTACCACCAAAGACAAAGATCCCACCGTATAGCCTTAACAGACTGTTGTGGCAAGTGCTGTTAGCGTGGATGACCTATGAGGGCCAGCACAGCACACGAGGGGGTGGGTGGCCAGCACCACGCCCGGCCGCCTTTGTCTTTCGAGTGGCGATGTTTACACACCGGACCGGGTTACTCATTTGAGGCTGAGTCAACCTAGCGGAGGCCCAGGACCGGTTAAGACAATTGTCACTGGTGTTGGCCGTGAGCGGGAATCGAACTCGGGTCGCCGGGTTCGTAGCGCAGACCGCTAACCGCTACGCCACCGCTCCCCTCCGCCACAGCCGCTGCTGCTGGCGCGCACCGTGCTGGCGTGAACAATGCGCCCTTCAGTACTCCCTCACTGGGGCTGCCTGCGGGAAGTTCCCTCTCTCTGGTAAATTTAGCGACCCCGTGTGTGTGTTTAGGCGCCTGACCAAAAAGGGAAGATTTGCGGTTCGTTTGGCTTTCGCAGAGACTGGAGGCCGCAGCCTGCGCCACTGTTGCTGTTTGTGTGATGGGTGTCACTCATGAAGAATGCGATTTTTGACAGTGGCATTGTAACAGAAATGGCCAATTCACTTTTGATGTGGTGGGATTTATCTTCCTAAGCATGCTCGTACAGTATTCCGTGTCTTTCAACGCTGGAGGTGAGTCGTCAGCAAGTCAGCACTTAGCTAACGTGCTTTTCGCAGCCGCAGATTTTTTTTGTTTGTACCATTGAGTCATGATGAAAAGGAAACGATCAAACCAGTCCCGTATTATTTTGCACTCAGTTCTACTCCACGTGTATCTGAATGGTCACCACCTATTTCCTGCTATGCTCGTTAACATTGTCACAACCAAGAATTATTACGGAACCCAAAAAATTGTCATTTCAAACCAATGCCCTCAAATAATGCCGCCGTTCGTATGATGCTAAACGGAGAAAATGGCCTCTTTTTGATCAGATGGTTCGAGTCACTTTTCGAGTCATTCCTGCAGATATCCAAGACATTGCACACATAGTGGAAAATGGTGGTTTATACATTAAGATGGGTTAAGTTTTTCCCATCACTGAAATTATGATTTGTTTGCTCTTACGATGTTTTTTGTGCCGAGTTACAGTGACCTGGTAAGTACGCGTTGGCCCCGTGACAGTCTGTGTTTTTTGCGTTTAAACGTTATGTTGCCTTGTGTTCCCCCCTCCCCACTCCCTACACCCTCTTGAACCGTGTGGCCCTTCCGCTGCATGCTCCTATCGGTGGCCCCTTGCTTCAGGTGAGGCTAGTGAGGTCGTCTCCGCCCAGCTCTGAGTTCCTGGCCAGCTTCCAGGTGTCCTACCTCCTCTACAAGCGCTACCAGGTGGTCGTACACAAGGACCCCCCCAGCAAACCCTCGCAGGAGCAGGTTAGAGGCCTAGCGCGCGTCGTGGGCGCTCGGGTGACGAACCGTCGCATGCGCGCTTATCGGGACAGGGGTTATGGAGGAGGCTATGGTAGGCCCCAAGTGGAGCCCAATTCTAAATCTTGACTTCAACAAAAAAATATCCGCAAATTTGTTCCTTGGCCTGGTTGAAAGAGAGACGATCTTACTGACTCACCTCGAGTATGGAAATCCACTCATGAGCAAAACAGCTGGCTTTTGAATTAACATAAAAATACAAAAAAAACAATTAATCTACTTCCTGCGTGAACATTCTTTTGAAACAAAATCTTCCATAATACTCGATGGCCCGTATGCTTTTGCCATTGGACAAATTCCCAACGACAAGCTTGTGGAAATAAGTTGCGAATTGAAAATTCGAGATCAGGTTGATTTAACTCGATCCCAGCTGTTCGTGCTTATTGTCGTGTGGGTCCATTCAGAGTCACCGACACACCGCTCTGATTTCTTGTGACGGACTCTACTCTGAGCAGGTGTGAAAGATTGGTTGGGCTTCACAGTCGTTGAGCCACGCTGCCTTAAACTCCATCCTTGTGTGCCTCCTCCCCTGCCCCTGCCTCGCTGTGGCCCGGCGCCGTTCAAAGTTGAGGCTGGTGCCATGCTCGCTAGAGAATGACTCGTTTAGGGCCTCGTTTGACGCGTCGGCGGCTCTCTATGCCAAGTACCAGGCGGCCGTGCACAACGACGCTCCGGAGCAGTGCTGCTCTGAGGAGGTGCGTTTCTTTTCCTTCATCATCGTCATCATCATTGCCAGCGACCACATCGTTTAAAGCAAAAAATACATGTATAAAAAAATGTTGCGTTGTTTATAAATTTTGCTCATTGGATGCTTGCATTTTATGGGTTGGAGTGGTAATCTGGGGGTTTGTGCCACTGTGCTTTGAACCTGGCGGCCTGAGTTTGAATCTCAGCCACGGCTAATATCACTGGCGTGTGATGGTCTCAACCAGTCATTGGCTAGACCCCCCCCCCACCTTTTTGTTAACCCTCATTGACCACCATGGTGAAGTATGGTCAAATGAAGCCCTCATGATGAAAATAGCATGGGGAGACCTTCCAATAGTGAATCCAGAAAGGGCTGTAAAATATAATAATTATCCCCTGCTTTTTAACATCTTTCCTCATTATTATACTGCATATATATTTAAACAGTTTCGAGTAGCAGCGATATTTTTTGTTGCCAGTTTTATAAAAAAACTACATTTACTGCCCATTAGCCATATTGATGGCAAGCGAGTTCTAAAGCAGTACAGCTGCCACCAGTTACTTTGATAATGCCCCATAAAAATGAAATGGACGATGTCAAAATTAATAATTGTGTATTTAATGTGACGGCATTCAATAATTTGCAATGACATTGGGTAAAACCTCCCAATTCAAACTGCTGCCTACACTGGGAATGAGACAGAGCAGCACGTGGATCACGGGGACACAAATCGGTCAAAATGTTGACCATGGAGCAAAGTAAGTGGACGGAATGATGATGGGCAATTGTAAACATTACCGACAAAGTGGCGGCTAAGGAATGGAGCGTGGAGAAGGAGCAGCGAAGTCGGCTCGTGTGCAGGGTGCAAGGTGTGTTGCCAAAGGCTCATGACAGATGGCAGAGCCTTTGGGAGGCCTTAATCCAGCAGTGGATTGATAATGGCCAATGTCTCATTTTGAAAAACGTATTTCAAATATTGTGAAATTTTAACATTCCGTAAAGAAGTCTCGTGGTAGTGGTTTAACAGTGATTGGATTTAAGCTCCTTGCATGTGTCTTGTGCGCGGCAATTTATTATTTGTTGTTCGTGCGTTTTAAAAACCTGGCATGAATTCAGAACTATGGTGCCAGATCAATTGGCCGGCTTCCCACGCTGTGCCATGTCAGCGCAGAGCTTGTGGGCCAATTGGCAGCCTGTGTGACCCTTGCTATCCATCCCCATGTGCACCAAAGCATGCTCTTGTCACCTCCCTAAACAAATGATGTAGATGATGAAAATTATATTTGTTGTGTTATTGAACTGGATATTTTGTCGTGGTTGCATTTCCTGGAGCCTTTCTTCTGCAGGGATCATTTTATTGTGTTTTTTCGTTTGCAGCTTCCATTGTAGCACACAATAATAAACAAAGTATCTCATAAATAAACACCTTTCAGCTGAAAGACTAACAATGATCCAACATGGCTGTATGCATTCATAAATTAATATTAATATTAGATGCCTGTTCAGCAACTTCTTTTGGATTACTCTAATCTGTCATCATCATCATTAGCATTGAGGATCAATCCACGGCTGAATAAAAGCCACCATCATTTGCCGCGGTCCCCTGCGATGTAATAATACACCTAATTGTCAATCGACTATTTTCTTCATACGAACAACCGAATTTGACAGTTAAGCATCGATCGGCTCCGAATGAAGCGTGCCTAATGCGCTCAAATGTATAAGGAATATTAATAGTTTGTTCGTAATTGCCTATGAGTTTCTGTCAAAGCAGACTCGAGCATTCCTATCCCTTCCCTCGTGACCCGCTTAGTCTCTGCGCTAATTGTGCTCTTGCGCGTAAGTCCCTTGTCACGAGGCCTCGCGACTTCTGAGTCAACATGACCGGCGGCAGGTCGCTAGCGACAATGCAAATTATTTTCGGCGGTGTCTTTAAAAAAAAATAAAAACTCGCGCAGCTGGAAATACGTTTTTGTTGTAGAAAAGTGTAACAAAAATAAAACCGCTGCCAGATTTATGGATGATCTGATGCAACCCAGAAAAAAATTAAGCATTTGTAAGTTTGTTTTAGGGCAGAATAAAATGTTCGGCGCGCCGTTTTTCTCACGAGACTCCAGCAACTTTTTATATCCCTTCACCTCCATTAGCGCAACCCTCTGGCCAATGGCACTTGCCGAGGGCGTCTGGTCTTCCTGGCTACCTAAGCGTGTAATCGATATTGGTACGAAAGCATGGTCTCGACTCAATGCCCATTGCTTTAAAGAGAGATATACTGACTGGCCATTTACACCTGCAGAATCTGAGAATGGTCTGTTAGGGGTTAGCCTAACATGTCAAACATCGAGTGCCACACTCTGGTCTTTAAAAAAAAGATTTCCCCCAATTCTATTCCAATTGTTCTACCAATGTCGTGTCGTGAGAAGAGGCATCTATTTGGGATTCTCTCCGAGTTGTGCAAATCCTATTTTTTTTTCAGAACGATCCATTCAAATAATAATAATAGTTCAATTTGTAACGGTCACAAATTTGCAGACGTAGTGAAATTTCTTTGTCCCAAGTGAGGCATAAAGAGGTCCACTGCTGTGACCTTGCATATCACTCAGACACAGGGTGATACCCCACTAGCTGTGAGTTGTTCCAAAAGGATTTTGTCATCTTTTGTCATGCCGATATCACATTTGGAATGTAATGGTGGAAATGAATATGTAAATATTTAACAGAAGGGGAGACATTTTTTTAAATTTACAATTGTGTAGTCAGATCTGTGCGACATGGCTTTTTATTTTAAAAATGTAATTAGAGCAGTAGGTTCATCGTCATCTTCAGTTATGATCTCCCCACTACTGAATAAAGACCTCTCCCACATTGGTACCATTGCAGATGATCCTGCAATGCTGAAATCCATCTCTTGCACATTAGCAGATCTCATCACCTTTCTCTCCGCTGCAGTGATCATTCTGTTTTGCATGTGCTCTCCTTTCGATTCCATTCTGTCACCAACCTTGTCCATTGGTCATCATGGAAACAAGTTTTTTTCTTGATCGCATAGTTACTTTCAATCATCGTATATCTAATAAACCAATGAAAGCCATCGTGTCTCGCTTTTGTAGTCAGTTGAAATTGACACTGCCGACTCCTGACAAACACATTCAAAATGGGAACAGCTAATCTGAGATTACATTAAAGTAACGCTGCAAATCAGCAGAGGAGTCAGGCTCTCTTCAAGACTATTCACAGTGGAGATATAAAGAAGGTTCATAGCGTGCGTGCGTGCTTTAAACCCACCCTCGACGAGGGCTGCACGGAGAGATGAAGGATTATAAAAATAACCTGGCCTTCCTGTTCCCCATAAATAAAAAGGTGGAATTTAAGAGACACGCACTTTTCGGCATGCGTGTCATCATTTTATAGGCTGTAATGAATGCTTTCCTGTGTTCTCTGCTGGCTCGGTTCTTTATGTTTGTCTGAGCCTCTGGGGGCGTCTGTGGTGCATTTGTGTATTCCGCACAAGTTGCAGACGGCTGTGTGCACGTGTGAAGTCTGTACATTCAGACGCTGGGGCAGTCCCATACACAGTCCACAACTTAAATACTGCACTGTTGAATGCCTCTAGCCACTACAGACAGTGGCCAGCTTTTGTTTATCCACTGCTGGATGAGAGCATCACCATGTGGCTCATGGGAGATATTTTACCACACTTCACTTTACTGGTCGGTGCTGGTTGGTCAAGTCGCCCATATTTTATTCACTGCCACATGCATTTGCTGCACATTCCATGATTAACAATGTAACGATTTGCCCTCCTTGCAGTATGATCAATTCTCATGATCCAGGGACTCGATTCAGTTCCAGATTTCATTATTTTTGCCATTGTGGTACATGCAGAGCCTCCATTGGCTCAGGGCTCATGTGGTCCACATCGGCAAGACGCGTCGCTCAAAGGGATGACGTCCGGTGGCCGAGACTAACGACGGCGTGGCAGTCAATGCGGAGATGGAGCAATGAAATCAGCTCATTTGCAATTACTGGATGGATTTTTGCATAGCAAGACTGAGAGATGCTGATGGCTTGTCGAGGCCTTAATGCAGCAGCGGATTGAGCACGGACTCGTATCATTAATTAAATAATCAGTGCTTTATTGCATGCCTAGTTTTATTTATTTGTTGATATATGCTGAAAAGAATCAGCAGGTACTACACCAATAAACATTAGGATTTGTGTATTTTTCTGGGTTTGAATTGTACATTAATCAAAGCCATATTTTTACAGAACCAATTATTGAACAAGCCTTCATATGGGTTATTTAGTTTGGACCAATACACAGCCATAGTCTAGCCAATTAACAAATCTTATTCTCCACTTTACATCTTGTGCTATTTATCGACCTGCACAGGAGTGTGTGGATCTTTGTGTAATTGCAAGGCATATGCTAAAGCTACGAGGTAATTCTCATTTTTCGTCAGCCTGTGGCTTCTGGGCCCATTTTTTGTTGCTGCTGCTGCTGCTTTTAAAGTGTTGGGACATTTTCCGAAATGGCCTGTGAAAACTGCACGGCACTGCGAAATTTTTCTGCAGTGAAGCTTTAGGATTTTTATTTTTAAATTGATAAAAAAACGTGAAGCCTACCCCCCCTTCCGCTTTCGATTGGCACTCTGAAGATGGGTGCTGAATTCAGATTGGAGGACTGCAAAAAAATGGGATAGGATTATTGGGCAATAGATTCCCATTTCCTGACTTGCAATCTTGTAAATATTTCATTCATGCGACCTTTGCAAATTACCATTTAAACTGGCATTTCTCCCGGTTTAATCGCTGTGCAGCAGATTCAAAGTAAGACCACCTCTCTCCCTCCTCCCCCTTTACTTTAAATTGCATTTTTCTGGCCAATTTTTTTTACTCGCCATGCACTCACCAAACAAAGTGTTATATACCCTGTTGAAATGGGCCAAGAATAGTTAGTATGCAAACAAATTGATCTGGATGCATGCTTCGTCATGTCATATATTT